GGCCTGAAGGCAGGCGCTAAACCACTGAGCCACCCAGGGATCCCCTGATCTTTGTTTTTTATATTTTGAAACTTTAAGTGTAAATTTGGAATTAAAGCTTCTTGATAAATACAGTCTTTTATTAAAATACATTGACTGTCTTTAATTGTAATTCTTGCCTTAATTTACTTTGATGCCAATCAAGGAATCAGCATTGGTATTTTTAGTTATATCCAAATGATTTATTTTATCCCTTTAATCATTTTGAGTTACAATTTTTGTTTTTAATACCTTAGTTTTTGCAAGTGTCTTAAAATGCAATGTGATTACAACTATATGTCTTAGCTAAAGCATTTAATTCATTAACTTTTTTTGGTAAATACTATATATTTATTTCTATCACCTCCTTCATCTTTATTGGGGTGTTTTCTTTACTCATTTCTGTTGGCATAAATTTTTCTATATTTTCTTCTCCTAATGGTTAAAAATTTTGTGTTTTGTTACTACTTTTTTTAGAGGTAACTAAAAAATTTCAATAACATACTAATATTAAAGTCTGGAGTTCATTAGTATTTCTATCATTTCAACAAAATAAGATTTTTTTAAAATATTTCATTTATTTATTCATGACAGACACACAGAGAGAGAGAAGCAGAGACACAGGCAGAGGCTCCATGCAGGGAGCCCAATGTGGGACTCAATCCCTGGATTCCAGGGCTGGGTGAAGGTGGCACTAAACTGCTGAGCCACCGGGGCTCCCCAAAATAAGATCTTAAAATAATCTCTCTAGCATTCATTTCGTCTTTGACATTATTGCCTATTATTTTATTTCCTCCTGGTTAGTAACCTTTTGCACTGATAGTTTTTTTTTTTTTAACATTCAGTATTTGTTTAGATTTACCCATATACTTTCCAGTTTCTTCCTCATTTTTGCTTTTCTTGCTCCTATATGAGTTTCTCTTTCAGAAATCTCTTGTAGGGATCCCTGGGTGGCACAGCGGTTTGGCGCCTGCCTTTGGCCCAGGGCGCGATCCTGAAGACCCGGGATCGAATCCCATGTCGGGTTCCCGGTGCATGGAGCCTGCTTCTCCCTCTGCCTGTGTCTCTGCCTCTCTCTCTCTCTCTCTCTCTCTCTCTCTCTCTCTCTCTCTGTGACTATCATAAATAAATAAAAATTTATTAAAAAAAAAAGAAATCTCTTGTATTTTTTTAAGTTTGAGTTTTTTCAAGTGTTAAACTCTAAGGATGTTAGAGTTCATGTTCTTTTAATAACATGAACAGTACTTTAGCTGAATATAGAACTTTAGATTGACTATTATTTTTCTTTCTTTCAATATAAAGTTGCATTGTCTTCCTGCCTCTGCCTCTATTGGGCTGATAAGTCTGCTGTTAGATAGTTTTGATATTCTGATGTAGGTGATTTTTGTTGTTTTAATATTTCCATTTTGGCTTTGGTGTTGGAATGTGTTCATGTGTAGATTTGTGTTTGTACTGCTTGGGACTCAATATGCCATTTTTAGTTTAGATATTTTGTATAGTTCTTAGATATTTTTTAATTTGTTTACATTTTCTTCTTGGAGCTTCTTAGGTAGTTTGTTATTCTTATCTTTATATTTTCCGTCTTGTTCTCTGTGTTACTTTTGAGTAATAGCTTCAGTTCTGTGTTCTAACTTCTCAGTTTTCTCTCGTTGTCCTTTTTTCTCTTCCTCCTATTTCTCAATTTCTTCTCCCTTTCCTGTATACCCCTTCCTCCTTTTTTTGGAACCTAATGGTGTATTATTTATAATTTATCTGTTTGTGTTCTTAATCTCTCTGTCCTTCTTTATCTATTTTTGTTTTGTTTTGTTTCCTACCTGCTTTCCCCCCACCATGTAAATTTTGTAAATTGGTGATCAAAAATATTTTGTAATAGAGTTTTCGTTTGCTGATTAGTCCATTACGAATAGGCAGAGTCAAAAAGAAATTAGCCTAATTTTGATTCCGTATTTTTTATTAGCAAGTATGTAGTTTCAGCCTTTCCTAACATGCTGTGTGAGAAGGAAATGAAGAGAGACTGTTTTGGCTCCTAAATTAGGCTATAAAATCTTGAGTTGATTTATGTTTGCTTTTGTTTTGTTTTGATTTGTTATTGTTCTCTCATTTTCTTCTTTCCTCTGGAACATTAGTTACGTTTGAAACCTTAATTTCAGGAAATGTAGAACCAATTATAGTAACCTATTCTAATTTCATAGTCTTTGTTACTCTAAACTACTGTGTGGGAAAAATAGAATACTCTTCCTGTTTTTCTCAGTTGTATGTGTTTTTATTTTGAAAGTCTATAAAATATGTTTAATATTTCATGACTATTCATATCTTCTCATAGGCAGATTAAATTACTAGTGCTGTATTCCTCTTACCCTGGAGGCTGTAAGGTTTAAATCCTTGTCTCTGCTTCTTAATAGCTACTTAAACTCTCTGTGCCTGTTTCCTCATCTATGAAATAGGGATGATTATAGTATTTATTTCATAGTCATTGTGAATTCAGAATTCTGTAAATCACTTACAAGAGTGTCTATAGGAAACATTTAGTTTGTGTTAGCCATTATGTTTTTCTAGTTCTGTGAAAAGTCACACAGGTAGTGTTACTGATAGGACTAGAATCTGGGTGTTCTAATTCCAATCTAGATGAAGCAATATTTTGCCTGTCAGAAGGTTATGCAGTCTTTTCTAATATAAAAGCTTAAAAGCTAATAAATGAATCTAACAACGTTAAAGTAACTTATTTTATCAATAGTACAACACATTTCAGTACCTATGTGCTGAGTGCTGTGTTAGGTTTTGGGAATACTAAGGTGGACACTGTTATCTTCTAAAAAAGCTATAGACTAGTTCTGGAAAGAAGACAAGAAAACATGTAAAACATAGTTACTTCTGTAAGATAGAAATGTATAGAATTCAAGGGACTAGAGAGGAGACGGCATCTGTCCCTTTCTTCTGGAGGGCAGAACAAATGGGAAAACAGTCTTGGGAAATTCCATAGACAGAATGTCACTAAAAAATTGTTGCGATTATTCATAGAGTAAGATAATACAGGAAAGAGAATTTAAAGTGCTCTCTGTATGTTGTTATTATTTAACTTTATTCTGAAATCTTCTATTGAGCCTTAAGAGCATTTCAAGAAATGAACTGATACTGATACTTACCGTTAATTTGAATTTCATTACAATAGTTTAATTCTTCATTTTACTCCCAGCTTCAAAAATTTTTGATTTCTCAGTGCTTTTTTCAAATTTATTTTGTTATAAAAGAAATATGACCTTTTTGCAAAGTTGAATAATACGAAGTATATATTAAAAGTTATCTATTCCCCTTTTTCTTCAACCTTCTCAATCTCCCTGAAAATAAACCAAACAACAAAATGCATAATGGGTAATGCATTTTATACACACACACACACACACACACACACACACACACACGTCTGCATTGCTTTGAATAATAAATTCATGTCTCTTAGTTTGCATTCAGACATTTTAAACATACTTCGAGGCTATTTTTTTTTCAATTTTATTTTTATCAAAATGTTTAAACTCTAGCTAAAATGAATTATTTTTCTGCATCCTGTCATCTTTTTTTTTTGTCTTAAGCATAGAATGCCTTTCACTGCTTCATGTTCAAAGTCAGTCCTGTCCTTATAAGTCTTTTCAAATAATAAATTCTCTGTTAAGTTTTCCTTCTTTCTCTACCTTCACCTTTCTTTTAGCTTTAAAAGTAATTTTGTGTTTCTAAGTTGTCATTATACTTTGTTACTTCACTTTCAGTACCCAACACTTTCTAATGTGCATACAGCTATATGTTTGGTTTCTGTGTGCCCTGGACTATACTGACAATTCTTTTAAAGCAATGTTATCTCTATTTAAGCTTTGTAATACTTAAATGCTTACTTATAAGTCTGTTGTTAGGTACCTATTTACTGAATAAATGTATTTTAGATAAGATATAATTTCTTTTAGAAATACCGATTTTAGGGGCAGCCCGGGTGGTTCAGTAGTTTAGCGCCGCCTTCAGCCCAGGGCCTGATCCTGGAGACCCGGGATCGAGTTCCACTTCGGGCTCCTTCCGTGGAGCCTGCTTCTCCCTCTCCCTGTGTCTCCGCCTCTCTCTTGCTCTCTATCTCTCATGAATGAATAAAATCTTACAAAAACAAAACAAAACAAAAAACAAAACAAAAACACACTTAAAAAAAAGAAATACTGATTTTTAACTGTCTTGGGGATAAGTTGAGAAGCATAGCTATGAATTGGAACTAAAACGACTTCTTTCCTTGATTTGGTTAAATATTCAAAATAACTTTTGAATAAATCTCTCTGAGACATTGTTTTTTTTTTTTTTAAGGAAACAAAGATTATGATAACCTGATCTAACCTATTTTTTAAAAAACATTTATTTATTTGAGAGAGAGAGCAGAGCCAGAGAGAGCATGAATGAGGGGAAGGGGCAGAGGGAGAGGGACAAGCTGACCCTGCTGAGCAGGCAGTCTGATGAGGCACTTGATCCCAGGACTCTGGGATCATGACTTGAGCTGAAGGCAGAGGAGGGGCTTAACTGAATGAGCCACCCAAACACCCCTTAACCTGTTTTTAAAATTAAAACTAAAATCTTTAAAAACTAAAGTTTTGGGATCCCTGGGTGGCGCAGCGGTTTGTCGCCTGCCTTTGGCCCAGGGCGCGATCCTGGAGACCCGGGATCGAATCCCACATCAGGCTCCCGGTGCATGGAGCCTGCTTCTCCCTCTGCCTGTGTCTCTGTCTCTCTCTCTCTCTCTCTCTGTGACTATCATAAATTAAAAAAAATAAAATAAAATAAAAATAAAAACTAAAGTTGTGAGAACAAGGATATAAATAAATACACATCTCAAATATTTTAATGGAATTTAGGAGCAGTTCTTAATTTTTTTTAAGGAAACTCACCACTATGACTATTTGCTGAACATAATTTAACATTTATGTAATCACTAAAAATTGTTTTCATTTCCTTTTCAGAGAACGCAGAGTCTATCGATCTTAAACAGTTTTTTGACCAACATTTTTCACATATATATTATGTGTTCTTCGAGAATTTTGTGACTATTGAAGCCAGTCTTAAACAGAAAGGTAAGATGTTAAAATTGGTTCTGACTTGTGTTGGTGTTTCAAATAATTGTCATAAGTATTCACTTAAAAGTAGACCTTGGGCATTGGAATTTTAGTACTATTTCACTTCTTTTTGTTAAATGTCTTTTAGATACCCTCTCAAAGTATGGGTTAGTAATACTGTCTTCATTGTTTTGAGAAGGCTTGGAAGATTTGCTTTTTGCCTGGTTAGGTTTATTTACCTGTTTCCTCTACTTTTTTGCTTTAAAGATTTTTATTTATTTGAGAAAGAGAGTGTGCCTCATGCATGAGTGGGGGAGGGGCAGAAAGGGAGGGAGAAGTAGACTCCCCACTGAGTAGAGAGCCAGCAGTGGGTCTCATCCCAGGACCCTGAGATTATGACCTGAGCTGAAGGCAGACACTTTTTACTGGCTGAGCCACCCAAGTGCTCCTTCACACTATGTTATTTGTTTTTAGACATAAATATGTACAATCTAAATTTAATTATTGAAAAGAATAGGGAGGGATGCTATAATATTGTCTGTACATTGAACAGAATATGCTTTAAACATTGTATTCAAGAGTCACTGAGAAAATAGTGTTTTTAAGTGGTTAACAGGGAGGACAAAATGATAATATTTAAAATATTTTTCTGTAAAAATGTTTTAGGTCACAAGTCTCAAAGGGAGGAATTGGATGCTATACTTTTTATTTTTGAGGTGAGTATCTGCCAATCAGTGTTTTTTTCCTCCAAAATAATTCTTGGAATATACAAAGGAACAATTTGAACTTATAAAACTTATATCAAAAGACTAAATTTGCCATGCTTTCCAAGAGCTGAATCACATTTTTTATTCTAAAAATATACCTGACTTAATTCTTATTTTTTGATATACATGTGTTATTTTTAGGTAGAGATAGAATTGTATTTTTATGCATTTGACACCACAAAATTGGTAATACTATAAAATAGTTCAGTGTTTTACGAATTATTGTTCTATATTACTTTGGATTGGGGGTGGGACAAGCTTTTATTGTTAAACAGAAATAGCAACATTTGATGCTATACTAAACTTTACATTTTATTTTTGGCATACTGATAAAAATTAGGATACCCTCACTTTTAAAATAAGTCCCTGCCTCTTCATTCTGTCTTTCAAATCAAGCAATGAAAGGAGCATTCTGATCTTTATCAAGAATTCAGAATTCTGGATAAAGCCAGGATTAGATCTTGTAATTTTAAAAGACAGTAAAGAATTGGAAATCCGTGTCTCAAGATTGAGTTATTTGTTTATTGATAATTAAAAATAATTCACTGTTTTATATTTTGGGTACTTTGATAGAGTTTAGAAGAATTTGAACACCTGAATTCTTTCTTAGGTGTTGAGTTATTGATTTAGTCATAGCTGAAAAAAGAAAGGTTTTTGTTTTTGTTTTTTTTTAAGAGTTTCAGATGGAAGTATCTGGTGTTGGTACCTATTCTGCTTTATTTTCAGTAATGATCGTCCCTAAGGAATTTGCTTATATTTCTTTCTCCACGTGTTTGTTTGATCTGTTTACAATGGGAATGTTAAAAACATAGATGTTTTGAGAAAGAATGAAAGTATCAGAAGTCATTCAAATTATGTGCTCTAATCTAGAATTAAATAAGGATATCAGTAACAAGGAAATTTGTAATTCACAAATATGTGGAAATTAATGAACACCCCCCCAAATAATCAGTGCTTATAGAAAGTTATGACATACCACAACTTAGGGAATGCAGGTAACCAAGCACTCAGAGGAAAATTTATAGTTATAGACTTAAAGGAAGAATGATATCACATCAATTGCCTGAGCTTCCACCTTAAGAAACTAGAAAAAGAAGAGCAAATTAAACCCAAAGCAAGTGGGTTAAAGGAGATAATAAAGATTATAGCAGAAATAAATGGAAGAAAGATTTTAAAAATGGAGAAAACCAACAGAACTGGAAGTCAGTTCACTCAAAAGATCAAGAATACTAATATTTAGCCATACTGACTAAGTAAAAAGATTGAGGAATTAAATAACCAAATTCAGGTATTAAAAAGGAATATTACTACCAACCTTACAGAAATTGTAAGGATTCTAAGAGAATACTATGACCAATTGGATGGCAACAAATTTAATATATAAAATCCTCAAAAGAAAGGTGAACCAAACCAAGATGCATATAAAAAGGATGATACAACATGACCAAGTGAGACTTATCTAAGAAATACAAAGTTTAACATCTAAAAATTAATCAACTAATTGTATATAATAAGTGTAATAATAATGGAATAAAAGACAAAAAATATATTATCAACACAGAGAAATAGCATTTGGAAAAATCCAGTACTTTTTCATGATAAAACACTTAACAAAATGGGAATAAATTGAAACTGTGTCAACTTGATATAAGACATCTACAGAAGTAACACGTTTAAGACCATACCTAATTTTGGATACCTTGAATGCTCCTTTCATTGCTTGATTTGAAAGACAGAATGGGGGGGGGGAATCCCTGGGTGGCTCAGCGGTTTGGCGCCTGCCTTTCGCCCAGGGCGCGATCTTGGAGTCCCAGGATCGGGTCCCATGTCGGGCTCCTGGCATGGAGCTCTGCCTGTGTCTCTGCCTCTCTCTCTCTCTCTCTCTCTCTCTCTTATGAATAAATAAGTAAATCTTTAAAAAAAAAAAAACAAGAATGAAGAGGCAGGAGTTATTTTAAAAGTGAGGGGATCTTAATTTTTATCAGTATGCCAAAAATAAAATGTAAAGTTTAGTATAGCATCAAATGTTGCTATTTCCTGCTTATTTAACAATAAAGACTTGTCCCATCCCAATCCAAAGTAATATAGAACAATAATTTGTAAAACACTGAACTATTTTATAGTATTACCAATTTTGTGGTGTCAAATGCATAAAAATCTAATTCTATCTCCACCTAAAAATAACACAAAAATAAAAAATCAAAACGAGGGTATCCCTCTTGCCATTTCTATTGAATATTACACTTGATTCTAGCCAGGGCTGCTAGCAAGAAAAGGAAATAAAAGACATCAAGATTGAAAAATAAGTTAAAAAAATTATCAACAGAGTAGGCAAGATAATAATTTCTAGGAAATGTTCCTTCAGACATTCATGCTTGTCCTGTGTTCAGGAAACTGAGATGGATTGATTAGTTAATGGAAGATCCTTTAGGACTTTCCTTCTATTAAAAAATAATGTTTAGTTTCCTGTATATAATATATACTGATTAATTGTTTTTAGTAAGTGATTTTTGTTTTAGAATATAAAGATGTTAGTTACAGGGCTTTCATCTTTTGGAAAAAATTATTTAACCTATGTGCTGGTGTTTTTCTACTTATAATGGGGACAATAACATCTGACCTGTACCTTTAGAGACTAATGATGATTTTTAAAAATCAAGAAATTTATAAAAATTGAGTTCCTCTTTTTGTAGTAAAAAAACACCATTATGTAGTGTTAATAATATGATACAGGATTTATAATGTTTTCTTCCCTGACTAGACATGGTTTCTTTCATCTTTATGGTAACCACATAAAAATAAAGACATGTTTATTTACAAGGGGTTAAATCTGAAGTGCAATAGTCATAATTTAGGGATGTTTTTGATTAGTTTACAAACTTATCAGCTTATAATTTTGTCTCTTTCCACAACAAAATAAATACAATTACACAGTTGTTGTCTAGAGAAATATGAAGAGGCAAAGGTAAAGAAGTTTGTGTATCTCATCCTCTTGTATGAGATGGACTAAAATAAGATCATATCAAGTGGAAGATAGAGGAGTGTAAAACATGCATAGTATCTTTTGGACAGAATAGTATAAAAGTCACATTTTGGATTAAGCATATCAAGATTGGAATCAGTTTCTTCCACTTTCTACTTAAGCACATTACTTAACCCATTTTCTCATTTTTAAAAAATGAGATTAATAAACTCTCTCTTTAGAATGGATTAATGAGATACTGTTAAATTAAATGTCTAGTGTTTGGCCCTTATGAACATTTGGTTAATGTCATTTCTAAAGAATAACAGTAGTGGGCAGCCCCCTGTGGCGCAGCGGTTTAGCGCTGCCTGCGGCCTGAGGTGTGATCCTGGAGACCCAGGATCGAGTCCCATGTCGGGCTTCCTGCATGGAGCCTGCTTCTCCTCTGCCTGTGTCTCTGCCTCTCTCTCTGTGTGTGTCTCTATGAATAAATAAAATCTTTAGAAAAAAAAAAAAAGAATAACAGTAGTAAGAGCAGCAGTAATAAGAAACATACACACAAAACTCATTCAGCAAGCAGATAAGCACTGATAGCATCATTTAGTAGCATAGTAAGGCAGTTTTTGAATTAGAATAATTCACACAGAAGAAATTTGTAAAGGGAATTAAAGGTAACGTTTTGAAAGCATTACCTATAAAAAGTGTTTATTCCACATTAATGGAAACCTGTATTAGCTTAATTGTAAGGATCCTGAATTTTTAAACTTGTTCTTATACCTATAATCATCATAGATATAAGTATCTTTGGGTTCACACAAATCAGTATAAATATTTGATGTGATTTTTTTGAAATGAAAATATTTTCCCTACTTTTATCAAAACAAGGAAGAGAACTATTCAAAATGAGACAAAATTTCACAAATAATAGTGTCTGAGAGAATTCAAAATTTATCAGTAATATCCACAATACGGAAATTTTGAGAATAGTAAATGATCATTTTGAAATATATTAGAGTTGGTGTTTAATCCATAAAGAGAAATTTACTTTCCACATTATTTTAGACGATAACTTTCATTAATTTTTTTCCCCAAGTCTTCGTTAGTATAACTTGTTGGTTTTGTTTTTTTGTGTTTTTTTTTTTGGTGTTTTCAAATACTGATCAGTGTGTCCGTGCTGAAATAGAGCAAGTACTGTCAGATTAGTTTAAATACTATTTTGTGTTTGTGATGCTCTTTTACATAGAAACTCTTAAAGGCATAAGCTTTTTGTTTAATTTTTCACATTGCACAGAATGTGGACTCATTATTTGCTTTTCATTCTTTTGTTTTATTCATACTGATTTTTAGAAAATTTTACAACTTCTTCCAGAAAGAATTCATCAGCGATGGCAGTTTCACAGTATTGGTAAGTAATTTGAATATGTATTTCACATTTGACATAAATGATAATATATGGAAATGCTCTGTAGTGAGTTGGTCAGTATTTGAAATGAATTTATAGTTTATGCTTTGGTAAAAACGATATAAAGAATGCAGGACTGTATTTACTGGGAGTGTAAGATAAAAATATAGATGAAGGATTTCCAGTCAAAATGGCATATTAAATTTCTTTGATCTGTCTGTTTCTTTACTTTAGTAACGATGATAAAACTATAAAACCAAAAAAAATAAAAGCAGGAAAACAAAGTAAACATCTCAGAATAAAAAATGGAACAGAAATGTAAAGTGCCAAATAGAGTGAATATTTGGGCTCCGGATTCGAAAGCAAGCAGTGTCACCTGGCAGTTAGTTTGTTCCACAGAAAATAGTGGTGGGAACTAGAATTAACCTTTGCCTGAAGGGCCAGAGTAGAACTTTTGAGATCATGGAATGAAGCCAAAAAGAAAAAGGGAGGAAAAAAACCCTGCTGTGGATTACTGTCAGAGACTAAGCAGAGAGGAGACCACAGACTTTGTTACCTTGAACTAAGCCAGGGTGCTTGCTGGCTTGGAGTCTGGTCTTTTAACAATAACAGTATCACCAGGGCTCTTAAGCTCTTGTTCTAAGACATTTTCCCCCTCTGTCATTAGAAAGGAGTCTGCAGGTAAGCAATTGGTGGCTCTGGTTTAGGTATCTCAATGGTGTCAGGTTTGATTGCTAATGATTCTTCTGACCCTTCTCTCATGTGAAGTATGTGGATGGCCACCCTATCTACATCGTTTAAGTAGAATGTTATAGGCCTTACATTCATTTGTAAAATGTGTATTTGTTTCTCTTAAAAAAGAAAGTCATAGATTTTATTTAGGCCTCACATTTCTTAATCCATTATGGCAAGTGAAATATTTTCTGGACACAATTTAAAAACAGGCATGGGATTTGAATAGACATTTCTCCAAGATATACAAATGACCAATAAGCACATGAAAATATGCATCATTTGTAGTTGTAAAACACAACTATAAGGAGATATCACTTCACATCTAGGATGACGATAAGCAAGAAAATAACAAGCATTGGTGAGGCCGTGGAGAACTTGGGACCCTCGAACACTGTTAGTGGGAATATAAAATGCTGCAGCTGCTTTGAAAACCTGTCTAGCCATTTCTCCAAAGAAGACATACTAATGGCCAACAGACACATGAAAAAAGGCTCAACAACCCTTGTCATCAGGGAAATACAAATCAAAACTGCAGTGAGATTATTATTTTACACCAGTTAGATGGGCTAAAATTAATAAGACAAGAAGCAACAAATAATTGGCAAGGATGTGGAAAAAAGGGGAACTCTCTTACACTGTTGGTGGGAATGCAAGCTGATATAGCCACTCTGGAAAACAGTATGGAGATTCCTCAAAGGCTTAAAAATAGAGCTACCCTGTGACCCAGCAATTGCTCTAATGGATATTTACCCCAAAGATATAGATGTGATGAAATGAAGGGGCACCTGTACCCCAATATTCATAGCAACAATGTCCACAATAGCCAAACTGTGGAAGGAGCCACGATGTCCTTCGACAGATGAATGGATAAAGAAGATATGGTAAATATATACAATGGAATATTACTCAGCCATCAGAAGGGATGAATACCTACCATTTACATTGACATGGATGGAACTGGAGGGTATTATGCTAAGTGAACTAATAGGAGAAAGACAATTATCTATCATATAGTTTCACTCAAAAGAAATAGTGTAGAGGATCATAAGGGAAGAGAGGGGAAACTGAATGGGAAGAAATCAGAGAGGGAGATAAACCACGAGAGACTCTTAAGTCTGGGATATAAATTGAGGTTTGCTTGCTGAAAGGGAGGTGGGTGAGGGGATGGGGTAACTGGGTAATGGGCAATTAAGGAAGGCACCTGATATGAACACTATGTGTAATACACAACTGATGGATTATTGAACACTATATCTGAAAGTTATGACATACTGTATGTTGACTAATTGAATTTAAATAAAAATTAAAAAAGGAAACCAGTCTGGCAGTTACCCAAAATATTAAACATAGAGCTCCTGTATGGCCCAGCAATTCTATACCCAGGTATATACCCAAGAGAAAGGAAAACCTAGGTCTGTAAAGAAACATACTCTAATGTTCATAGCACTATTTTTCATAATAGCCAAAAGGTGGAAATAAGCCAGTGTCTGTTAACTAATGATTAGATGAGTAAAACAGATTTTATCTTAAAAAAAAAAAAAAAGTCTTTTGTGGGACTTTGAAACTGTAAGCCTTCCCAATTAGTTCCAGAAACAAAAGGAACTTTGGACATCTAGGAAGGATATTGATACAGGGGCTAAAAAAGATAAAATCCTGAGTAGTAAAGCCATTTAGAATAAACTTTTTAGATAGAGTTTGAGACTAAATATAATGTACCCATTATAAATAAGGAACTCTTAGAACTCGATAAGACAAATATTTAAAAATTGGCAAAATATTTGAATATACTTTATATCAGAGAAGAGATGTGAATTGGTAATAAGCACATAATAAGGTACTCAATAAAATAGTGAAATCCTGTCTTGTGTTTCATAATCATAAAAATGTCTTTGAAGGTTGTTTATGAAGAAACTTTTTTTTTGATACATCTGAACTTCACAACTTTATTGTAGCTTCTAAGGAATGTAGCCTTAAATTTCCAAAAGAGCTTTAGGCTCTCTACTTGCCATGATTAATAATATTTGAATAATGCCTAACTTGAGAAGATACAGAAGTGGTCATTTTTCTTTGTCATCTAGAAAAATCCTAAAACTGTTTTCTTTGATTTCTGCCTTATATATGAAGGAAAATAAATCAATGACTAGTTTATTTTTTTAAAGTAGCTTTATTCAAGTATAATTCATAGAGGTAAAATTCATCTATTTAAATAAATAGTTCAGTGATTTTAAATAAATATTTAGAGTCACCACTGTCTAGTTTTAGAGCATTATCTCACCCTGTAGTATTCCTTCAAGCCCATTTACAGTTAGTACGTTTCTCACCACCACAGTCTGCTTTCTGTGCTCAATAAATGTCTTTTTTTTTTTGACATTTCATGTAAATGAAATCATACAATTTATAGTGGCTTGCATCTGGCTTCTTTCACTTAGCATAATTTTTGTTTGTTTTCCATATTATAGCATGTATCATTTCTTTTTTATTGCTGTATAGTATTCTCTCATGGATATATCATGTTTTATCTACTCCCAATTCATGGGCATTTGTATTATTACCAGTTAATTATAACTTCTTTATTCTATTTGTTTTATTGTAGATTCCTTTCAATTTTCTGTGTATAGGAACATGTCAGCTGCAATTTAAGATAGTTTTATTTTTATATTTCCAATTTAGTATCTTTTTAGTTCCAATTTAGTATCTAATTTCTTTTTCTTTCTTCCTTCCTTCCTACCTTCCTTCCATTCTCTTTTGTTTATTCTCTAGTATAGTGTTGAATAAAAGTGGTGAAAGCAGATAGATACTCTTGCATCATTCCTAATGTGTGAGAGAAAGCAGTTATTCTTTCACCATTAAGTATAGTGTTAGGTATTTTTATAGCTATGACAGAACCTTTATTATAGTATTCCTGGGAATAGCAAAAATTTGAAAACAAATGTCCTAACATAAAATAAGATTAATCATAGGGAATGGAATAGTATATAGCAGTTAAAGTGAATTAATGAGAGCTATATAGATCACTACAGATAAATTTCAGAAGCTAGTGTTGGATGTGAAAAGTAACTTCGGGCACCTGGGTGGCTCAGTCAGTTGGGTGTCTGACTCTTGATTTTGGTTCGGGTTGTGGTCTCAGGGTTGTGAGCTTGAGCCCCAAGTAGGGCTCTGTGCTGAGTGTGATGCTTGCTTAAGATTCAGCCCTCCCCTGCTACCACCCTGTGCTGCTTTTGTACTCCTGCGCTTTGTTTCTCTCAAAAAAAAAAGAAAAGAAAAGAAAAGTAACTTACAGGCTCATTTTGTATGATAGCATATATAAATGTAAAGGTTTTTTTTAAACTATTAAATTTCAAACAATCAGATTTGATTACTTTTCCACTTACATTCTTTTTTTGTTGTTGTTCTAAAATCCAATCCACACTGCATTTAGCATGTATAGATCCTTTTAGGAGAGCTGATTAAAGACTGAGGTTTACATAGTATTGCTTTAAGAAATTGAATTTGTGCAAACAGAAGAGGACTGAGACAAATCAACATAGTTTTATTTGAAATACTAAAGCTTATTTTTGTATGACAAATAAAACTTAACCAAATAAAATCCTGACTTGATCTGTGTGTGTCTTGTATGTGTGTAATCTTGATATTAGAATAAAAAAAATAGGATTAGAACAAATAGCTGTGGAAGAAATTCTTGTTCTGGTTTAGCACTTGCCTTTGGCCCAGGGTGCGATCCTGGAGTCCCAGGATCGAGTCCCGTGTCGGGCTTCCGGCATGGGGCCTGCTTCTCCCTCCGCCTGTGTCTCTGCCTCTCTGTCTATCATAAATAAGTAAATCTTTAAAAAAAATACATGAATTCTAAATATTTTACTGATTTATAAATAAATAGCCTTAATATAAAAATATTTTGGAAGTAATTAATACCAAAATCTGGATAATGTTTTTTTCTGGGGAAAGTAGGAGGAGATTGATTTGACGTGTTTTTTTTTTTTTTTAAGATTTTATTTATTTATTCATGAGAGACACAGAGAGAAAGGGGTAGAGACACAGGCAGAGGGAGAAGCAGGCTCCATGCAGGGACGTGGGACTTGATCCTGGGTCTCCAGGATCAGGCCCTGGGCTGAAGGCAGCGCTAAACCACTGAGCCACCGGGGCTGCCCCTTTGGCGTGGTTTATAAGGAGGCTTCCATGATACTTGGTAGATAGAACATCATAGATAAGGTAAATGAAATTTTGAAAGTATAAGAAACATAGGACTGTGCTTAGTAGGTTTCTTTATACCAACTGGTGGGCCTTTGGATGTTTGTTAGTGTAATTTCAGTGTTTCATTATAGAGTAGAAATATTGTATAATTTTAAAAAAGTATTAAAGATGGCTTTGAATATTCTGAAAAAGCAAAGTATTACAATGAAAATGTTAGGAATTATTATAGAAGTTCATGTGGTTAACTAAATGGAAATTTCGTACAGTAGTTTTTATGTATATTAATGATATAGAAAGCATTTAATTATATTCTTAGTCTTAAATAAGAGATATACAGAGGTGGTTATATTAAATCCAATTTTGAGATTATGGTTTGTTTCAATAGACTAAATCATGTTTAATTCCAATAGACTGTGTGTTGAAAAGGTGACTCTGTATGCCCTTCTGGTCCCAAGATTATGGCCAGAGGGATATCAGGGTCACCAAGAATAATTTGGAGGTTGCCAAGGACTTGTATTAAAATGTTTTCAAGTCTGACCGAGAACTCTGACATTTGGAAACAACTAAGAAAATATGAATATTTTAAATCATGTTTTCTTTTCAGGATTGATTTTAAAGAAACTACTCCACACAGGAAACTCCTTGAAGGTATAAATAATTTTTTTCTATGACTTTTAAAAAACTATGAGTAAAGCATATAGTTTCTTGTTCTACCTTTTCTACATCAACTTTTTTCCTAAAGAATTTTGAATTGTCTTTAGTTCACTTAGTTGAAGTGAATTGACTTAAAATAGAGCAACATACTCAGTATGTGTGAAAATGCATACTGGATTGACCAGGCTGTTGAAAAACTATCGTTTGCCACTGCATTTAGTGATTCACTAGGAATACTTTACTCACTGTACCCCAGAAGACAAAAATTATTTAGTCATTCAAAAAATTATTCTTTATATTACCATAACTATTCTAAGATGTAGGGAAAAATAGAGGGATCTACGTTTTAAAAGTTGGTTTTATTTCTTCTTCATTATCTCACTGTGCTATGAGAAGCTAGAGAGAAGCTACCCAGTGCAAGCAAAAGTATCTTGTTGTAGTTAAGTGAAAGTTTCAGATTGTGGGTAGGTTTGGTGTCAAGGCTTGATATAGCAGTGCAAAGGAATAAGCCTTCCTAATTGTTTTCTTGTTATCTCTTTAAACTGTGAGGGTGACAGCTGTTTAACAGCTTTGACAGTGGCCATTTACCAAGCTGTGGTAGGGCAATTTCCAAAGCTGCCAGTGAAATTAGCTTAGTGAAGAACTTTGTGTTTTGTCTGTCAGATGCTGAATGTTTTTCTCTTTTCCTGTTCTCTTCCTGGGAGAGAATTTATTCATTGATTGGAATATTTGATGTCTTTTGTATATGGGTGTTGTTCTAGGTGCTTAGAATATAGTAATAGGTCAGAATTTCTGCTTTGCAGTTTAGCAGCAAAAAATAAGTAGATGATAATTTCAGACAGTGGTAGGTAAGCTTTTGAAGGAGAAGAACATTGATTTAGCAGGACACCAGGATCCCCATAACGATTCCACTTTCTACCAAACTCATTGTACAAAGAACAGTTATTGCCCTCTTTCTTTTTGCTTCTTGGATTAGACCAGTGGTGCTGGGAAAGAGGGAAGTAAACAAGAAGGAAATAATTTTCTGATTTTTTTTTTTTTTTACAAATGGAAATTTTAGAATAAACATTACCTGATAGCTTTAAGTAGTTAGAGGTCAAGTTTATTCTGTATTTGTTCAAAATCCATGAATTTAAATTTAGAAATAATAAGGGCTCAGTACAAAAAGAAAAAAAAAATTAGGGCTCAGTAAATGACATGGGTATTGTAGCCCTTCCTCTTTCCTTCTCACCTTCCTTTTCCCCTTTTCCCTCTTTTCCTTCCTTTCTTTTGCAAAGTACCATTCTCTAATCATCTTCTAGGGAATTTTGGTCTTAAAAGTAAGATAATATTTCCATTATAAGTAAAAATACTGGTTTTCATTTTATTTTATTTTAGATCAGACGAGAGGGTGTTCGTCTTTTCTTGTTATGGTTGCAAGCTCTTCAGAATAACTGTAGCAAAGAACAGCTTTGGATGTTTTCATGCTTAATTCCTGGATTTTCAGCACTACAGTCTGAATATGGACCTCGAACTTTAGATAATCTCATTAATCCTCCACTCAACCTTCAAGAAAGTAAGATTCATGAGATCTTATCCATCAGTACTTTAAATTTTTCTTTGTAGTTAATATAATTTTAAAATGTCTGTATGTTTATTAACTGGGTAATTCAAGGCCAAGTTTCAAAATACAGGTTTTATTATTTTTCACTTATGATGAGTCCAGCAGATCAGAAGATGATTGCCATAATGAAATAGTTATGTTTCCCAAGGGAAGAGGGCATGCCACATGAGGGAGGGTGGCTACACAGGGAAGTTCCAGGGTCAGTCAGGGGTAGGGCATCATAGGCAAGAGCCCTTATTATGATTTCCGTAGGTAGGAACATGGTGAGGCAGTGTGAGCAGTCCTAGAATTGACTTGTTTAGATAATTTCAGCAGGCTTAGGTGTAGAGAGATTGTTCCTCATTGTCACCCAGGTACCTTGGGTGATTAGGTCAGGGGGATAGTGGCCTTGAGTAAGATAGCCCAATAGAAGTGGGGTGGAGGTATGGACTCTGGACTGGTTGGTTTGCATGTGAAAGGCATGTTCTCAGGCCCATCTTTACTATCTCTGGGAATTATCTGTTTATCCCAGAGGGAGGGGGACATTCTCTCCCTGGCCAACAAGGCTCCTGATGTCAAAGCATCAGAAACACATGGTTAATATAAGCTGTTTTACATTTATCTTTCACTTCTAATTCTCATGTATTATCCTGAATCCTTGAGTTAATTTGGATGTACATTGAAGTACAAGAGTATTTTACTTTGTGCCGAGAGGACTGTAACAAAACCTATTTTTGTGAGCTTAATTACTTGGCTAATATTTACTGAGAAACCAGTTTAGGAACCTGCCTGTACTAGTTGCTGTTTAGGAAATATTTAAGAGAATTTAGCTAGTTGGTGGTCAATTTTCTTGAATTTACATTTGTTATAATGAATGTTTTTGACTCTAAAAATTTTAGAAAATGGTCACGTTTCTTATTTTATACATGGATTTTTGTAATCAAGGAACTAAGATGCTGTCCTTTTTTTTTTTTTTTTTTTTACATTTAATTTATTCAAGAAAGACACAGAGGCAGAGTGAGCCTGGTCAATACTAGAATAATATGTCCTTTATTTTTTTAAATTCTTTTTTTTAAGATTTTATTTATATATTCATGAGAGAACAGAGAGAGAGGCAGAGAAAGAGAAGTAGAAGGAGAAGCAGACTCCCCGCAAGGAACCTGATACAGGACTTGATCCCAGGACCCTGGGATCACGACCTGAGCCAAAGGCAGATGCTCAACCACTGAGCCACCCAGGCGTCCAAGATGCTATCCTTTTTGAGAGGGAAATAGCATTTCATTCTTTGAATAAAGGGGCTACTTTACAGAGTGAGCATTGAACATGGTCATTACTAAAATAATACGTCCTTTATTTTTTTAATCCTTTTTTTTTTTTTTAAGATTTTGTTTATTCATGAGAGACTTAGAGAGAGAGGCAGAGGGAGAAGCAGGCTCCCTGTGGGGGCCTGATGTGGGACTCAATCCCAGGATCGAGGGATCACAACCTGAGCCAAAGGCAGATGCTCAACCACTGAGCCACCCAGGTGCCCCAAATAATATGTCCTTTAATTGATAAATAGGGTCATTATTGTTCTTTCCCATCATACTATAGAATTTTTGTAATGGACACACTTAATGTAAATTTTAAAGCAGAAATTTTTTTTCAAGTAAGATTCACTCTTAAGCCCTTTACTATCTGTCTTTCCATCCCTGTTACATCTCAGTCAAGGGCTTATGAAACAGTTGATTATTAAACTTTATGGTTGTTGAATGGACTGTTAGATGATCTCAGGTTTGTTTCAAGTCAGTCGTTAGAACGTTTTTAAGCAGTATTTATTGCATATATGTTTTATGGTTAAATTTTATTTTCAGTCACAGTATTTCATTGTTAAATTTGTTTTATAATTAAACTAAATTTTGTCTTTGTATAGCCCAAGTCACTATAGAGGAAATCACTCCTCTAGTCCCCCCACAATCAGGAGACAAAGGACAAGAAGATCTCACAAGCTATTTTCTTGAAGCACTTTTAAAATACATAGTAATTCAGGTATGTGTTATCTTCTTTGCTATCCTGCCTCTTACCATCTCGTGTGGGTAACTAATTTTTCCCTCTTTTGCCATTGTTCTGTTAGAGGAGATACTTGCTTATTTTCTTGAGGGAGGAGATATTTTTACTTTTGAAAATGTATATTTTGTATGCTTTTCCTGAAATAAAAATCAATGGAGGGATTATGAATCTCTTAGAAAGGGAGCTAGTTGTTACTGTCATTATTATTACCAGTTTTTCTTTTTTAAAAAAACAACTTTTATGCCTCATAGATTTTTAAAATTGTTTTGCTGGTTTATTGATATATAACTGACATATAGTAAACTGCAATATTTCAAATACACAATTTAATGAAATATATTACATATATATATAGTCATGTAGCCATTCCCATAATCAAGATAATGATCATATCACCCCTAAAAGTCCTCAGATGGCCTTGTAATAATCATTTTCCATTCCTAACCACTGCCTCCCTCATTCCCATGCAGCCGTAGATCTGATTTATGTCATTATAGTTTGCATTTTCCATATTTTCATATAAATGGAATCATATGGTATTTACTTATTTTTGGTCTGGCTTTTTTCTATCATAATTATTTTGAAAATCATGTTGTGTATCAAAGTTTGGTTCTTTTTATTGCTGTGTTTTTCATTGTATGGATATAACAACACGCTTTGTTATTTAGTCACCTGTTGATGGTGATATGAGTTGTTTCCAGTTTTTGGCTATTAAAATAAAACTGAATATTGATAAACAAGTCCTTCTGTGGACATAAAGTTTCTTTTCTCATCAACACTAGATGTTCAAGTTTCTAAACATCTAGTAGTGGAATAACTGCGTTATATTAGAAGTATTTATTGACTTTTTAAGGCATCGTCAAGCTGTTTTCCACATGTTTGTACCTTTTTACATTCCACCAGCTTAATTTTTTTACATTCACAGCTTAATCTGTGAAGCTTAAAAGTTGCTTCACATCCTCATCAACAGTTGGTATGGTCAGTATGTAATTTTAGTTACTCTAAAGGAGTAATGTATAGTGGTATCTCATTGAAGCCTACTCTGGGCCTCTACCATTCCCGCACTTAAATATCTTCCTCACTCTGTTGGCATTCTCACACCCTATATTTTACTGCTCTTTCTCCTCTTATCCTCCACCCCTTCACTTCATTGTCCATGTCTTCACCCTACCAGGCTCTAAGTCTCCACTGGGCTGCCACCTCTGCTACATCCCTTCATGGATGCCCTGCTTCTGTGGTCAGCCTCTGATTACTGCACTTATCTGCTACTGCTTTCACTCTTTCCCCCACTCCTATTTCATGTGACTTTTAAGGCTGAATTATTCAGGACAGGGCAAAAGGGGGAAGATCATTAGTAATTTGTCATTAGTAGAGCCAAGTTTGAGTCAACTTTGAAAATTTTCAGAGCACACTTTTAACTTCTAAGATTTTTAAAATATATATAATGCATTTACATGGCATTATACTAGTTTCTACAGTTTGCCCTTTATATATATTTAGCTGTATAGCTTTAGAGTATAACAAATTAATGTATCACTTAAGTAACCTTTTATAGTCTTATTTATGATCACTGTTTTTATCTTGTGGAATGATTCTGATTGTTTTTTTTATTTTTAGGTGAAAAGCTTAGAATGGAAGAACAAAGAAAACCAAGAAAGAGGATTTTCATTTTTGTTTTCACATTTTAAGAAATATTACTTGCCTTATATTTTCCCAAACATCTGCAAGGAGAATAGTTTATATCATCCTGTACTTGGTAGGTAGTCTGTTGAATTTATAGAAGATTACACATAAGAATAAAATATACTTCATTGTAAAGTTGGCATTTGTTACCTACAGAAAACTGATAATATTTGATATTTGTAGTGATTGTTCAGAGATACTATACCTTGATTCATACAGAAAATAGAATTTTATTAGTAGGAAAGTTTCACTGAGAGTGAAGAGATTTTTTTTTTTTTAATGTATTCTTTGGATCTCACTGACTGGAAAAGTTAAGCCACCAGAAATATTTGATATTATAAATTAAACTTAAATTCTGATATTTGTATGATCTTTATATTATAAATTTTCTTTTTAAGGTCCCTCACAGGTTCAATGTAGTATGTCTTACTCAGATTCTGTATGAATAATAATGTTGTCGTATATTTTGATGATGTTTAGTCCAGTATTTAGTGGCTGTGCCAGAATGGCTGAGTCTTGAAACTAGAGCCTTTCTGACAAATCTTGGTTTAGAAGCAGACCTCTTCCATATGTAGAAGGCATTGGCAGTCTGTATGTGGAAATGTTCTTTTTACAGAAGGATGTTCCTATTTCAAGCTTTGCCAAGTTTAGATAGCTAATAGGCTTAGGCATAACCATTAAGGCCAGTAGAAAGGACTTAAGTTAGAGTAGCAGATCTTTGCAATTGAGAATGATATTTGCTTTAAAAATATTTTTGCTCTAAAAATCAAGGAAAAATTCTCATACCTTGTATTCAAAATTTGTGTCTCAGTTTTAGGTTAGTTAAAGTGAGTTCTCATTAATTTTTAAAAATTTTTATTTATTTATTCACGAGAGAGAGAGAGGGAGAGGCAGAGGCAGAGGGAGAAGCAGGCTCCATGCAGGGTGCCTGATGTGGGGCTCAGTTCCGGGACTGCGGGATCACACCCCGACACAAAGGCACATGCCCTACCGCTGAACCACCCAGGTGTCGCAAGTTCTCATTAATTTTAAATGGCTCTGGAAACTTCCGTGTACTTAGGATTTGCTGAGATTTTTCATGATCTTTTGTAAGAAGATGTATTTCTGTATATCATGATACACGGTTCATTCTTCTAGATTACATGCAATATCTAGCAGATTATTTTAAAATGCCATTTTTGTACTAAATCTACTCCCAAAACAAGGATATCATCACAAGTGTTTTCTCAAATGTTTAAAAATGTTGATGTATCTAAGCATAATTCCTTTTTTATTTTGGTTTTTGTTTTCCTTTTATTTTTCATAGATATCCCACAGGTGAGACCAAAGCCACATTATGTTATGATAAAAAAGGATGCTGAAACCAATGAAGCAATCTATTGTACAAAAGAACCTTTCATTAAGGCTCGGGTTATTGTCATCCGTTGGCTGGTTTCTTTCTGGCTTGAGCCAAAGCCACATACAGGACCTCATATTCCTGGGATGGAAGGTGAAGTCTTGCCAAAGAATATTCAGGTACTACAAAGAGCAAACTTGTGAAAAGTGGCTTAAGAGATGTGTCTGTGGATTTCAATTACCTTAGGTGTAGAACACATTTAAAACAAATAATGGTAATATTTTCTTTGTACAAATGTATTTTATTAATCTGAATTCTAACATTACAGAGTCAGTAATCTTAATAGAAAAAAACTTGGAAGATATAGGAGATAATTCCAGTCACGTATGAATCTCAGCTTCTAATTTGTTTCTGTATTTTATGTTAATTGTGCAGTACTAAAAATATTCTGAATTGTACACATGAATTCTTGCAGTTGGAAACAATTTGTAATCAGATGGTTGTAGGACATCATGGTTCTTTTTTGATTTTTAAGCATTCACAGAATCCTGATTTAAAGCCTTGTCTCCGAGGGTGCCTGGCTGGCTCAGTCGGTGGTGCATGCCACTCGATCTCAAGGTTGTGGGTTCAAGGCCCACATTAGATGTAGAGATTACTTAAAAATAAAATCTTAAAAAAAAATCTTGTCCCTATCTCCTTTCCCCTTTTACCAACAAGAGCAAGGAGTCTAGAAATGTGGTGTAAAATTATACAGCTCTACAGTGGAGGGACTGATATTTAACCTTCTGGTATTTTTTATTAAACAGTTTTCCCTCTTTTTTACACTTACCACTTTCTTCTTTTCCTTTAATATGTGTTTTTTCTGAACTTACCTATATTGCAGTGTTTATTTATTTACAGTTTTTTTCCTTTTCTCAGATTTTCTTCATTTAGTTTTAAAAATGGGCAGCCCCGGTGGCGCAGCGGTTTAGCGCCGCAAGCAGCCTGGGACGTGATCCTGGAGACCCTGGATCGAGTCCCACGTCGGGCTCTCTGCGTGGAGCCTGCTTCTCCCTCTGCCTTTGTCTCTGCCTCTCTCTCTCTCTCTCTCTCTCTCTCTCTCTCTCTCTCTCTCTCCATCTCTATGAATAAATAAAAAATAAATAAAAATCTTAAACTGTGTGTTTTTGTTATGACTTCTTAGATCTTTTACAAATTAAGTGGAGGTATAGTGTATGTTTAGTTGATTAGTGTTCAGAAAATTTAACTTATATCCCCCTTAATCATTTATTTATCTGCAGCCAACTATATGGGTATGTTTTCCTTAAAACTTTGCTCTAAGGTCTCTACAAATAATTATTAAGTGTAGAAACTCAAGCAGAACTATTTTTCATGATCCTAGAACTTAACGTACTAAAATCACAGGGTTTTTGATTGGAAAGGCATGTTTGAGATCATTTATTTAAACCTTTATGTTTTATAGGTGAGAAAACTGAGACCAAAAATTGAGTAACTTACTGGAAAGTAATTTGCCGTGCTACTATAATACCATGGTAGTAATTTCTTCATCACCAACCTTAAGACTTTTACCTTATTTCTAGGCTCAGTCTTCATCTTTAGTCATGGTGAAAATTCTTTTAAGTAACTAGAATATAGAGTGTTCTCTTGAGCTTTTCTTTTCTTTTTCTTTCTTTCTTTTTCCTTCCTTCCTTCCTTCCTTCCTTCCTTCCTTCCTTCCTTCCTTCCTTCCTTCCTTCCTTCCTTCCTTCCTTCCTTCCTTCCTTCCTTCCTTCCTTCCTTTCATTCATTTTATTTTTAAGTAATGTCTACACTCAATGTGGGCCTCAAACTTACAACCCCAAGATCAAGAGTCATACTCTGTACCGACTGAGCCAGCCAAGTGCCCCATTCTTGAGTTTTCTTATGGCTTCCTTTCTATTTCTGTCATAACTTTGCTTCCATTCCTTTGATTTTTTTTGGTAACTTGTTTGTACTGCAAACATTCTAAAATCAAATTATGGGTGGAAAGATGATTAGTGAGTATCACTGTATTACTTAATGTTGAGTTATTTGCGTTGCCACTTAATTATTTAGATTCTAAATGAAATCTATGCCCGATTTTAAACAATGGTGTAAGTTATTTGCATTGCCACTTAATTATTTAGAGTAGATTCTAAATTAAATCTATGCTCGATTTTAAACAATGGTGTAAGTTATTTGTGGAATGCTTTGTGTCCTACCAGTATTTGCTATTAGAAAGCAAAATACCAAGTTGGATGATATTCTCCCCCTTTCACTTTTATTTTAGAGAGCAGCTGCTAGCTTGGTATCCAGAGAAGAAAACAAAAATGATAATGCTGATAAAGCAGACAGAACTGCAGAACCAGAACAGTCTCATTCCAACACAAGCACTCTCACAGAGCGAGAACCCAGCTCATCCAGTCTTTGTAGTATTGATGAAGAACATCTCACAGACATTGAAATAGTTCGCAGAGTTTTTTCTTCTAAGAGAAGTAATGTAAACTTTGTCACAGAGATATTTCGTCAGGTAAAGTACCTCTCAGTAATTTTAATTTGTGATATAGACTTTGGTTTTTAATATTGAATATACTGGCTTTCAGCTATTTAAAATTCTTAATAAAAATGCTTTTTTTTTTTTTAAGGGATTCCTGGGTGGCTCAGCGGTTGAGCGTCTGCCTTTGGCTCAGGGCATGATCCTGGAGTCCAAGGATCGAGTCCCAAATCGGGCTCTGTGTGGAGCCTGCTTCTTCCTCGCCTGTGTCTTTGCCTTTCTCTCTCTCTCTGTCACTCATGAATAAACAAAATCTTTTAAAAAAATGTTTTTTAAAGTTCATATTTAATTTTTAAAATTTACTATATCTAATCCTTTATTGATTTCTGTTATTTCTATATTTTAGTTTTTGATGATTTTAGTTTATTATCTATCCACCTGCCCTATACTCTATTTTTTTTTTTAAGATTTTATTTATTCATCGGAGACACACACAGAGAGAGGGAGAGAAGCAGAGACACAGGCAGAGGGAGAAGTAGGCTCCATGCAGGGATCCTGACATGGGACTCGATCCTGGGACTTCAGGATCACTCCCTGGGCTGAAGGCAGGCCCTAAACTGCTGAGCCACCCAGGGATCCTCTATACTCTTTCTATTTTTAGAACAAATTTCTTAGTTACTCACCTTATGGTCACTTTTCTTCCTACCATTTCATTAGTAAATTATACTAAAATTATTTTATCTAACATTCTCCAATCAATAAAAAGTGGTTTTTGAACGGAAAAAGCGTGCTTTCATTGCCTTCATCCTCCTTTCAGAGGCTGTTTTGTCCTCTAACACATTCTGAAATTAAAATTGCTTAAGGCAGATATTTGGGGACTAAAATAAATGGAGGGAAAGAAAACGAATAAAAACTGTTTCACCTAAAGATAGCGAGAAATTCCTAAGTGCACATTCTCAATTACATAGAAATTTTGTGGAAAATAAACCTTATGAAAACTAATCATTTGCTCTTAATAGCAAAAGTACGTAACTTTTGCAGGTAAACATCATTGAGTTTTGTAGCTGAAGGGGCGGGGTGGGGGGGGATCATTCAAGTCTCACAGAAAGTAAGTTGGTAGATCCGAGACTAAAATTCCCAGATCCTAGTTCCCATCTCAGTGCTGTTTATTCTATACCACATACCTTTACATGCCAGGAAGATGTCTAGGCAAAGCACATCTTTGCCTTGTACACTTGCTTATTGATACGCAAAACAAAGCGTGAGGCAGCATTAGTTTTGTTAACCTAAGTTAAAGAAACAAACTTGCCTTGTGCTTTTATCAGCAGCTCATATACTAAAAATTGGAATGATACAAAGAAAATTAGCATGGCCCCTGCACAGGGACCACAGGCAAATTAATGACAGGCAAATTCATGAAGTTTTCTTTTTGTGTTAATGAATACAAAATGTATAGTTATACACAAATGGATTTAGTTTCATACAACTCCAACTCCAGTGAATATCACAATTAAAAAAAAAAAAAGAAAAACCAATTTGCCTTAACATTTTGTCCAGCTTTAGCAGTGGTTTTAGTTGCCAAATTTAAGGTTCGTGTTGATAGAATATTTGACAAATGGGAGAGGGAAGATATGTGGTAAATAATCTTGGAGTCCTTTACTTGTCGGAGAATTTTTTTTTTTTTAAGATTTATTTATTTAGGAGAGAGAGACAGCAAGCAAGGGGGGGAGGGACAGAAAAAGAGGGAGAGAGAATCTCAAGCATATTCCCTGCCAAGCAAGGAACCTGACACAAGGCTTGATCTCATGACCCTGAGATCATGACCTGACCCGAAATCAAGAGTTGGACACTTAACCTGCTGAGCCATCTAGGCACCCTTTGTGGGAGAATTTATTTATTTTTAAAGATTTTATTTATTCATGAGAGAGACAGAGAGACAGAGACTTAGGCAGAGGGCAAGGGGGCTCCCTGCAGGGAGACTGATGTGGGACTTAATCCCAGGGATCATGATGTGAGACAAAGGCAAATGCTCAGCCACTGGCCACCTAGGTGCCCCCTTGTGGGAGAATTTAAAGCAGACTTATTATAAATATTTGGATTTTTGATTTCTCGAGTCCCTTTGTGTAAGTTTATTTTTCTAGGAATTTGTTCACTGCATTTGTTTTCAAATTTGACAAAATTCAAAATTCATTACATTCTCTTATAATCTTTTTAACTTCTGAAGCATTTATATTCTTGTCCCTCCTTTTCATTCCTGTTAGTTTTTATTCATCCCATTTTTCCCCCTGATGAGTCTTGCTAGAGATTTGTCAGTTCTATTAGCCTTTTCAGGAATGAGCTTTTGGCTGTTGTCTGTTTTATACTTGTTTTCTCTTTTGTTAACTTTTGCACCTTGTTATTTCCTTCTTTTTACTTTTCTTGATTTTTTTTTTCTAGCTAATTAATTTTAGTCTTACATTTTTCTCATGAGGCTTTTTGAGGCTATTAATTTACCACTCAGTACTACTTTAGCTACATTCTACAAATTTTGATACATAGCATTTTTGCTATTATCACTTTTAACTATTTTCTAATTTTCACGTTACTACCTTCTTTGACCTGTGACTTATTTAATAGTTTGTACTTCCAAACCAAGTTTCTTGATTTTCCTTTTTCTAACTAATTTCTGATGTGATTCTTTTGGACATAGAATACAGCCTGTATGATACTAGTTGTTTAAAATATTTTGAAACTTATGGCTCAGTGTGTAATCAGTTTTGATAAATGTGTACTTTAAAAGAATATATTCTTCTCTGTTGAATCCAATGATCATTAAATTCTGAACTTTTCTATATCCTTACTTAAGGTTTTTTGTCAGCACGATCTCACAGTTATGGAGAGGAGTGTGTTAAAATCTTATACTGTAACAGTGATTGTCATTTTTTCTTTGTATCTCCGTAAATTTTTCTTTGTATGTTTTAAAGCTATATAATTAGTAAGTATATATTAGTTTAAAATTTTATATCTAAATGTGAATTAAATATTTTATTTATGGCCCTTTTCATCTGTGGATACGATTTTTGCTTAAGGTTGATTTTATTTACTATTAGTGGATTTATAGCACTTTCTTTTTAAGAACTAGCCTGTGAGGCACCTGGCTGTTTCAATAGGTAGAACATGGGACTGATCTCTCGGGAGATCAAGCCCTACATAAAAAAAAAAAAAAAAAAACAAAAACAACTAACTTCATGTATTTTAAAATAATCTTTTAATTTTTAACCCTTTTATATTATTAGGTTTTGCATGTCTCTTGTAAATATGGTTTGATTTTTTTAAAATCTTCCTTTATAAGATGTTGAAGGAATATCTGATGACCTATAAGAATATAAGGGGATGGAGGGCCTAGGCCAACTCTTGAAATTTTTGTCTTGGGCAGCTAGGTACATGGTGGGAACCTTCACTAAAGAAAGGGCATCCTAGAGAAGGAACAGGTTTGGGGCAAAGGTTAGGGGGGAAAGTAATGAGATCACTTTTAAACCAGCTGATGGGATGCCTGGGTGGCTCAGTGGTTGAGTGTCTGCCTTTGGCCCAGGGCATGATCCTAGGGTCTTGGGATTGAGTCTGACATTGGGCTCCCTCCATGGAGCCTGCTTCTCCCCCTGCCTTTGTCTCTGCCTTTCTCTCTCTGCCTCTCATGAATAAATAAATAAAATCTTAAAAAAAAAAAATAAACCAGCTGACACCTGGTAATCCAAGTGAAGGTGTCTGGTGGGGAGGTGGGATGATGGAATGGGTATAAGGAGAGGGAATTTGGGATTGGTAAGATTTGGAAGTCACTGGCAAACCTGTTGTACATGAAGCTATAAAAGTGAATGAGGTTGGCCTAAGAAACAGGCCAAAGACAAAGACCTTGTGAGCTCAAGGGGCAGGCAGAAAAAGAGGAGCTGGCAAAAAAGACCAGGGCAGAGGCAGTCAGATTGGAGAGGTGAGCTGGCCTTTTATTAAACTTCCTTTTGAATAATAATAAAAAAAATATTTTGTCTTTTAACTGGAATACTTATATTTATTATAGTTATGGAAATGTTTGGATTTGTCGATACTGTCGTCTTCTGTATTTTTTTTTTACCATGTCTGTATTTCTTTTGTTTTATTGTCTTATTTTTTCCTTTCTTTTTTAATTGATGTTTTCTCATTTTGTATCCTTTTTCTGTCACTTTGTTCAAAAGTTATAATTTATTCCTTTTTCTTTAGTGATAACTACATAAATTTTAACTATATACTTCACTTCCCAAGGTCTAAAGTTATTATTGTTTTTTTTTTTTTTTTGCCCTTTTCTAATCAGTATAAGGATCTTGGTACTTTATTACTCTAATTCCCCCCCCCCAACTTAACATATTGTTGTTATTAAATAATTCAGTTCTATTTTGCATGTTTGTGTTTTAACCCTAGTATTACTGTTCTGTGCATTCAGTTTTTATTTACATTTAGTTATGTGGTTTATCACTTTCTGTGATTATAGTATCTTTCCTCTCAGTCTTTCATTTAGAATTACTTTCTTCTACTTGAAGTTTATCATTTAGAATTTTATTTTAGTGGATGTTCATTGGTATCTAACACTTACAATTTTTGCCTGTCTGAAAATGTCTTTAATTTTGAGAGACTTTTTCCACTGGATGTAGACTTCTAGATTTGCCAAAATAGGTCCGTGGAAACCAAAGTAATTGGTTCCACTCAAAGTGAAAGTCAACTATTGCTCTTCATAAAACCTCTCTGAATTTGGATTTCTTAGAGGCTTTTATTTTTGAATATTTTTTTTCCTGCATTTTGGCTCATCAGTCAGTATGTTTAAGAAGATTAAATTTCTCTTTGAATCTGCTATTTTGTTTTTTTCAGTCAGAGGATCAGTTGGGTTACCTAGTCCATCATACTCTTGGAAACAATTCCCCTCATTGAGTTTTTAATCATGCTCCATATATTTTAATTTTTAAAATTGCACTTGGTGGTTTTTTATATCTGCCTACTCACTTTTTGCAGTGGCTCATTCATTCTTTATTCATATTCATTTTCATTTTCTTAATTATAATAATAAAAATAGGATGCCTCGATGACTCAGTGGTCGAGTGTCTGCCTTTGGCTCAGGGCATGATCCTGGGGTCTTGGGATCGAGTTCCACATCAGGCTCCCTGCAGAGAATCTGCTTCTCCCTCTGCTAATGTCTCTGCCTCTCTCTGTGTGTCTCTCAGGAATAAATAAATAAAATCTTTAAAATAAAACATTAAAAATGCTCATTTTATATTTTTTATTCCACTAATCCACTAACTTAAGTTTTTTGCAGTTTTGTCCTTTTGTTATTTCTGTTTATTCACGTTTGTTTTGGGTTTTTGTGTTACGAACTTATATTTTTTTGGAATTTTGTGGGAATTACTTTGAAACCTGGGTTGAAAGTTGTGTCCCTCCAGAGAGGAACTGCTATTGACTTCTCCAGGTATTTGGTGTCCTGTCAACCTTAGTTTACTGTATTTATTTATTTAATTTTTAAGTAAGCTCTGTACCCAATGTGGGTCTTGAATTCATGACCCCGAGATCAAGAGTTATGTGTTCTACCAAACCTTGGTTTTCTTTAAATTATAATTCTCAGGGATCCCTGGGTGGCACAGCGGTTTAGTGTCTGCCTTTGGCCCAGGGCGTGATCCTGGAGACCCGGGAATCCCACGTCGGGCTCCTGGTGCATGGAGCCTGCTTCTCCCTCCCTCTGCCTATGTCTCTGCCTCTCTCTCTCTCTGTGTGACTATCGTAAATAAATAAAAATTACAACTGCCACCAACCAACCTGGAGTGGCCTCCCTCTTTCTTAAAAAAAAAAATAAATAAATAAAAATAAAAATTAAATAAATAAATAAATAAATAAATAAATAAAAAGAAATTCTCAATTTATGATTCTTCCTGCTTTGCAGCACTCAAAGTCATGTGATGACCAGTCTGAGAATATGAATTTGCAAGAAAGGCTGTTCTTCTCTTGATTCCTGTATCCCAAGTCTACTAGTAGACAAGTTTCCTCGTTGACTCTTCTCTGGGGTTGTTTTTTGCCTTCTCCCTCCTGGCCCACCTTTGTATTGAGGTTATAGCCTTCATTGGTGTCAGTTTTACATGTAGGACTGATCTGTGTCTCACCTTTGTACAGGTGGTTATTTAAACCCAACACTCTCTAGGCTGTCCAAGGCAGCAGCCAACAGCTTCATTGTTCATTTTCTTCTCTGGATTAGTACTCACATTTTGTTCTAGACTCAGAATATCCTTACAATCTGAGCCATTCACTTAAAAAGGTATATTGTATTTTTTTTAGGTGTTTTATGCAGGAGATATTCCGGGGTATCTTTAAATGATATTGCTGGGAACTCAAGTTTTCTGAGATGTTTTTATTCTGATAATTATTTTTATTACTTATTTTTTAAAGAGGGAGAAAAAGTGTGGTGAGGGGCAGAGGGAATCTCAAGCAAGCTCCAGGCACAGTGCAGAGCCCGATGAGGAGGGTCCATTATGGACCAAGGGTCCATCCTGCAACCTTTGAGATCGTGACCTGAGGGGTATCTGGGTGGCTCAGTTGATTAACCATCTGACTCTTGATTTCAGCTCAAGTCATGATGAATGAATCAAGAAGTTCTGTAAATATTTGGTGAATGAATCAAGAAGTTCTCTAAGTGTTGGGGTACCTGGGTGGCTCACTTGGTTGAGCATCCAACTTTTGATTTCAGCTCAGATCATGATCTCAGGGTCTTGAGATCAAGCCTTACATTGGGCTCTGTGCTGGATGTTGGAGCTTGCTTGGGATATTCTCTCTCCCTCTCCCTTTCCCCCTCCCCCAGCTCTCACAATTTTTCTCTCTCTTTCTCTAAAAAATAAAAAAGAAGACATTCTGTAATTATTGAATTCCAGGTTCTTTATCATTGCTACCTGAGGGCTAACATTTATTTCTAGAAGCTAATAAGTCTTGAGATAATTTGTTAATATAGTTGATGATGTTATTTTCAGGCAAGTATAATGATTGAAGTCTATCTCAGATGAAGGTATTTATATTGTTATATGTCTTTAAAGTAAAGATACAACTATAAAACAAAAATCCCCAAATCATTGAAATGATAAAATTATTCTCCATATTCAATAGAATAGGCATAGATGCACTCCAGGCATTTACCCCTTATAAGTAAACCCAGTGTGTTTTATGTTGTCATGACTTGGAGTGTACAATGAGGAGCTCCCAGGTATTTTGATGTGAGGTAAATATAACACATCAATAGTTTAACCTTTAAGAACACAGATTTTATGTGTGTATATGTATAATTTTATATATAGATATTATATATATATATAATTTTTTTCCTTAAAGTCACTTTAAGGCAGTGGATCACAACTGTGGTCATAGGCTTCTGGGAAGTCTTCAGGACCTTTTCAGGTCCATGAGATCAAAACTATTTTCATGACAGTACTAAGATTTTATGTATTTTTTCTTTACTGTCATATTTTCACAAGTATGGTGAAGTTTTCCAGAGATACCTACATGTGGTGTTGTATTATTGGATGCAGAAGCAAGCAGACAACAAAATCCAGCCATCTTTTATTAAGCTAAACATTAAAGATTTTTGCAAAAATGTAAAGTATTGTTACTCTTGTTTTAGAATACCTGTTATTCTTTTTGACATCTATGGAGTAGGGGTTCTGGACCAAAATGCAAACCATTGCTTTAAGAAGACAAAAAATTCCCAGTTCTGCCAAATGCTCACTGTACTTGATTAAATCTTAAGGAATGTGTCCATCACAGTCTGAGTTGGTTAATTATAAAAGAATATTAAAAATACCAGAGACCGGGATCCCTGGGTGGCGCAGCGGTTTAGCACCTGCCTTTGGCCCAGGGCGCGATCCTGGAGACCCGGGATCGAATCCCACGTCGGGCTCCCGGTGCATGGAGCCTGCTTCTCCCTCTGCCTATGTCTCTGCCTCTCTCTCTCTCTCTCTGTGTGTGTGTGACTATCATAAATAAATAAATAATTAAAAAAAATACCAGAGACCAGCTTGTTTGGTTTGAATGTTTTGTAACTGTTTTTCACTGAAGAAGGTGGCATAGCTCCTGGTAAATCATATACCATTGGCGAAGCCACTTGTTAGAAAACTGTATCAGATTTTCTTAAGCTAATACCATTAATATTTGATTTTTCTGTCTCCTGTTATTTTGATTCCTTCTCCACATAGTTTTTAGTGGTATAATAGTTTTATGGTCATAGAATCAGAACTGGAGATGACCTCATCTACAAACAGAAAATTTGCTGTGTGTATAGATGCAGAAATATTTTTTGAATGATATCTTAGCTTATTTTAGTTAATATTGATGTCTAGTGGTGCTTCTTCATAAGGGTAAGGTGTTAATGTATGGATTTGAATGTTCTGGTTTCTATGACAGTTATTTCTCATCGTAAATGTATAATTTGGCACTCTGGTTTTTATGTATCAATTTTTTTTAGCCATGGCTAATACCAGTTTCTTTAAGATGCATATTTAGTGTATTGGCAAAATCAGACTTTGGGGCTTATAAGGACAAAGGTTATATACACTCTGGTTTTTAGTAAATTCATCAAGCCACCTGGGATGTAGTATGACAATTTGTCCATTAATATCTTCGCTCTGGAGATCACTAATATTTTCTAAATGATTAAATTTTGTTTTAGATCAGCTTTAGGTCCACAGCAAAGTTGAGGAGAAACTGCAGAGGGTTCCCATGCTAATTTTAAAAAGTTCATTTTTTAATATTTGAGAATAGAATTTCTTTGAGATTTTTTTTTCTTATACCTTGAACCTTTTAAAGGAGGGCTAAGTTGTTATGATTATAAATATTCTGGCAATGAATTGATTGACTTTAACTCTTTAAAAATCATTTATATCATTTTATAAAAAGATAAAAATGTATTAGTGGTTTGTGACAAAGTAAAATGTATCATATGTGTTCTCTTTTTTTTTGCACTAGGCATTTTTATTACCAATTTGTGAAGCAGCAGCTATGAGAAAAGTGGTAAAAGTATATCAAGAATGGATTCAGCAAGAAGAAAAACCTTTGTTTATGCAAGAACCTGAAGAAATTGTGATCTCTTCTTCAGACTTACCTTGTATTGATAGTGTCACAGACCATGTTATTTCAATGGAAGAAGGAGAAAAGAGAGAAGAGGTAAACTGATAAGACTTCAAATATTTTAATATAGGTTTAATATATTAGATTTTCACAAAAGTATAATAACATGTTGACATACAATACTTACTTTTTAGTATATTTGCAACTTAGGTGAAATAGCAGTTACCACAGTACTCTGCCCCAAAGCTTTTTGATGTTACAACGTTAAAAATTAATAATGAGATCAGTATCCTGGTTCTTTAATCCATCGTATAGATCACAATTAGATGCCATTTTAAAAGGTGTGATATTTGAGACTGTAGGAGGATGGCTGGGTCCTGAGCTCACTTCTTCCCATGGACATACCAAGATTGTAACTACATAAGAAAGAACTCATACTAAGAAAGATCTAAAGACTAGGAGACCAGCTCGTGCACAACTAAAGATAAAAAGAAAGCCACAGGGTGCCTGGCTGGTTCAGTTGGTGGGGCATGTAACCCTAAATCTCGAGGTTGTGAGTTCAGGTATCATGTTGGACATAGAGATTACCTTAAAAAAAAAAGAAAAGAAAAAGCCACCTTGAGAAGGCAGAGATGTGGTCAGGTTGGGAACCAAAACCCCTAGTCTGGTGGCCCAGAAGTGGTTTGGTATCACAGGCATAGAGATACTCCCTAAAGAGCAAGGAGATTAAGCACTATGTCATTCACCCCCACCCTGGAGATCTGCACAGGAAAAATGAGGTCCTCACAACATCTGACTTTGAAAATCAGCAGAGCTTAACTTTAGGATATTTGAAAATCATTGGGGCTAAAATCTGGGATAGCCAGGGGTCTATAGGAAACTGAGATAATGCTCCTGAAGGTCCCACACATAGTCTCACTTACTCTGAGACCCAGCACAGTAGCAGCAGTTTGCAGAGCACCTGAGACATACATAAAGGATATATTTTTTTAATTTTAATTTTTTTTAAAGATTTTATTTATTCATGAGACACGGAGAGAGAAAGAGAGGCAGAGATAGGCAGAGGGAGAAATAGGCTCCCTGTGGGGAACCTGATATGTGACTCCATCCCAGGACCCCAGGATCACGACCTGAGCTGAAGGCAGACGCTCAACCACTGAGCCACCCAGGTGCCCCATAAAGGATATTTATTGACTGATTTTAGAGCATAGGCTGGAGGGGCAGGGTTCTGTAGGAACTTTTCTTTGGACATGGAAATACTAGTGGGCACCATTTTCTTGCCCTCATTTAGCCTAGGTTGTTTAATGCTTGTGGGCTGTAGTTCTGACATTCTCTGCCTACCTTGCTAGCATCAGTCTTCCCACCCTGGTATTCTCCTTCAAAATCAACCCACTCCTCCAGCAGACCTTCTCTTAAACTGCTCCCACCCTGCCACATGCACTGGGTGGCCTTGACTGGGAGTGGTGTACCTCCAAAGTGACTCCTGAACTGGGGGACTGGTCCTGTCCACCAGCAACACACAACATCATGGTTGGGCTTTACAGCCAGCTGCACCAGGGTTTACCTCCTCCCACCAGTGCACCCATAGTAGTCCTGGTTAGGCATTGCAACTAGTTGGCCTGGGGGCCAGCCTGCCTACCAGAATGCCCAAGCATCAGAGCTCATTCAACAACACAAGGATGCATGCTGCACATACAGAGGGCACCTAGATTTAGTGACTGTGGGAGGAGGGAATTGTACTTCTGGACCCCACTGAACACCTTCCACATAAGGTTATTACCTTTGAGACCAGGAGATGTAGGTGACCTACTATCTAATACTTGGAAACAAACACAGAGAGTCAGACAAAATGAGGAGATAGGCATATGATCCAAATGATAGGAGGAAAAAAAAAAACTCAGAAAAATAACTAAATCAAAAGGAGTTACATAATCTACCTGATAAAGAGTTAAAAGTGATAGTCATAAAAGATGCTCACTGAACTTAGAAGTAGAGTGGATAATTCAGAACTTCTAAGAGAAATTATTTTTTAAAAATGATATCTGAAAAATACAATAATTCAAATGAAAAATATACCAGAGGGAATCAATAGCCTGGGAAAGGATGCAAAAGAATGGATCAGTGACCTGGAAGACAGAATAGCGGAAATCATCCAAGCCAAGCAACAAAAGGAAAAAAAAAATTATGTAAGACAGGGTGAGGGACTTCTGGGGCAACATTAAAAGTATTAACATTTGCTATAATATACGAGTCCCAGAAGAAGGGAGTGAGGAAGGGGCAGAAAACTTATTTGAAGGAATAACAGCTGAGAACTTTCCTAAACTGAGTACAGAAAATAGATATCCAGGTTCAGGAAGCATAGATAGCCCCAAATAAGATGAACCTAAAGATGTCTACACCAAGACGCATAATTAAAATGTCAGAAGTTAGAAAGAATTTTAAGAGCAACAAAAGAAAAGCAACTAACATACAAGGGAACATCTATAAGACTCTCAACTGAGTCTTCAGCAGAAACTTTGCAGGCCAGAGGGAGTGGCTTGATGTATTTAATGTGCTCAAAGGAAGAAAACCTACAACCAAGAATACCCAGCAAGGTTATAATTCAGAACTAGAGAGAATTTCCCAGACAAACAAAAATTAGAGGCATTCATCACCACTGCACCAGCCTTAATAGGAAATGTTAAATGACTTCTTTATGCAGAAAAGAAAAAGCCATAACTAGAAGCAAAAATAAAATTATAAAAGAAAACATTTTATTGGTGTTAGAAGGTAGGGGAGGTACAGTAAAGTATTCCCTGAGCTGAGAAGACACTTTGAGACTGGAAATCAAAGAAGGCAACTCAATATAGTTTACAGAGTTTTATTCAGGGTAACTTACTGATGAGATAGATGATCAGGCACATGATGATCCAGGTGCTGTACAACTATCCTCCACAAAGTCTAGACTTAGTTCACAGATTTTATAGGGCAAGAGATATTCAGAAGGGCATTATTACGTGATCACAGAGTTCACATGCACCTAATTGACAGTTAACCTTTAATTAGATTTTGTGGAAGGCTAAAGACTACATCATCTTTAACGGATTCACAGGTGGCCAAAGCAAGCTTCTCCCACCCCAGCCTTGGCAGGCATTTCTAAAGTATGTATATTAATCTCAAGGGCCTGGGACATACAGCCCCATGAGAGGTCATCAAGCAAAAATGAACAAGAAGGAGGGCCAACAGTGGAGTCACTGTTTTTAGCACTCCTACAACTTGTAAAAGCAAACATAATGAAGGTTGTAGGTCAGTCACTTATAAAGCTAGCATGAAGATTAAAAGAAGTAATCAACTATATTTACAATAACTATGTAAGGGATACACAAAGTAAAAACATGTAAAATATGGTGTCAAATGCATAATACATGACAAGGGGGAGGTAAAAATATAGTACTTTTAGAATGTGTTTGAACTTAAGTGACCATCAACTTAAAATAGGTGGCTAATACATAGGGTGTTATACATGAACCCTATGGCAATCACAAACAACCTGTAACAGATACGCAGAAAATAAGGGAATCCAAGCACAACACTGAAGACAATCATCAAATCATAAGAGAAGACCGCAAGAAAGAAAAAAGGAACAGAGAAGAACTACAAAAACAGCTAGAAAAAAATGAACAAAAGGCAATAACTACATACCTATCAATAATTAATGTACATGGGCTAAATATTCAATCAGAAGTCATACAGTAACTGAATAGATTTTAAAAAGACCCATCTGTATGCTGCCTACACAACACATACAGACTGAAAGTGATGAGATAGAAAAAAAACCTCTATGCAAATAGAAATGACCAGTAAAGCTGGGGTAGTAATACTTATGTCAGACACCATAAACTTTAAAACAAAGACTGTAAAAGAAACAGAAGGGCATTACATAATGATGAAAGGAGCAGTCCAGCAAAAGAATATATTTATAGATATAGATGCATCCAGCATAGGAGCATCTTAATATATAAAGCAAATAGTAACAGACAAAAGGAGAAATTACAGTAATACAATAATAATAGTGAATTTTAACACCTCATTAAATCAGTGGCTAGATTGTCCAGATAGAAAATGAAAAGGAATAGTGGCTTTGAATGAGATATTAAATCAGATGGGCTTAAATATGTACAGAACATTCCATCTGAAACAGCAGAATACACATTTTTTTTTTTATAAGTGCACATGGAACATTCTGTAAGACAGGTTGCCTATTAGGCCACAAAACAAGTCTCAGTAAATTTAAGAAGATGGAAATCATATCAAGCATTTTTTCCAACCAGAATATTATGAAACTAGAGATTAGAAGGAAAAAAATTAGAAAAAATACAAAGACATGGAGACTAAACAACATGCTACTAAATAAGCAGTGGGTCAACAATAAAAAAATACCTTGAGGAAAAAAAAATACCTTGAGATAAATAAAAATGAAGACAATGTTCCTAGATCTCTGGAACACAGCAAAAGCAGTTCTAAGAAGTTTATATAAATACAGACCTACCTGAGTAATCAAAACAATCTCAAACAATCTGACATATATCTAAAGAAACCAGAAAAAGAACAAAACCCAAAGATAGTAGAAGGAGGGAAGTAATAAAGATCAGAGGAAAAATCAATGGAGCAGAGACTAAAAACACAATAAAAAAGATTGATGAAACCAAGAGCTAGTTCTTTGAAAAGATAAACAAAATTGGCAATGTTAGGGATCCCTGGGTGGTGCAGTGGTTTGGTGTCTGCCTTTGGCCCAGGGCACGATCCTGGAGACCCGGGATCAAATCCCACGTCGGGCTCCCGGTGCATGGAGCCTGCTTCTCCCTCTGCCTGTGTCTCTGCCTCTCTCTCTCTCTGTGACTATCATAAAAAAAAAAAAAAAAAAATTGACAATGTTAGCCAAACTCCTCAAGAGAAAAAGGCTCAAATAAAATCAGGGATGTAGGAGAAGTAGCAACTAATACAATAGAAATACAAAGGCTTATAAGAGACTACTACAGAAAATTATATGCCACCACATGGGACAGCCTAAGAAAAGAATAAATTCCTAGAAACATTCCATAACTGAATCAGGAAGA